TATATGATGTGTGCTAGAAAATTCGTGACGGTAGAGTAATGGATTATCGTCTTAGCATTGCACAAGGATCAGCACACATTAAGATGAAAATGGAAATAACTTGTGATGATACCAGAAGTCTTTACGTAGAAAACTCGTAAAAAGAAAAAAAATCACAGGGTCTGACCCAGTTAGAAAAATCTACTATATGTTGATGATTACAGAGATCCCTTGTCCCACATACGGGAAATGGTTACTAGTTTTCAAAGTTACAAAGTCGACTGACGGCGTATACTCAACGGTGGTCGGCGGTGATGGACGATAGCTAATGACATTCGATGACGGTCAGTGGTGGTCGACGGAGATCAGCGGTGGTCGACGACAGTCGATGACGGTACTTGACAATGACCGGTGGTGGTTGACAGAGGTCAACAGTGGTCGTCGACAGTTGGTAGTGGTCGACGACAGTCAGTGGTGGTCGACGAAGGTCGATGACAGGGGTGATGTTTGACTTGAGCTCTCTCTCAAAGCCTCAAGTTTTCTCTCAAGTCTCTCCCTCTCATGTGAAGGGTGAGACTATATTTATAGTGTTTTGGGTGCAATTAATGCAGGAATATAAACCATTTTGATCGGACGTCTGGAGAGCTTCCCTCGATCGGATGGCGTTTGATGGAAATTTGAGTACTTTAATGATGTCGGAATTGAGCAATCTTGGGCTCGTTAGATTCTTCTTGTCGAGACGCTCGATTCGATTATGAACTCGCCAGATTCGACATCTATTTGACCCTTCAAATGCCTCCGGAAATCCTCCAAGTGTGGTTTAATGATTTGATCCAGGCTTGATCTGACTCGGATTGAACTAGTTTATATATCATTTGGTCTGTTTCATCAAGCTGATCAGTTTGACTATAAGTTCACAGAAATTGAAGATGACTCTTAATTGAGATTTGAATGTTTCTTGCTCGATAGGTTGCCTCGAGATTCGTGATGGATGATGAAAATTTTTTTGTGGAGTATCAATACATATATATAT